TTGTTGCATTCTCCTACCATTTACTTCAAACCCCCTCCCCCATGAAGAGACCTGTCTCTGGCAGGTCCAACACGCAGCCAGCCCCTGGTCACGGGGAGGACAACCTTACAGCCAACCTCAGGCTGATATTGCGTGTGTTCAGAAAATCTTTGAAGAATTCGTTGAGAATTTAGCTGCTGGCAGTTTCATCTGTCCTTTCCCCAAATAACCGGTATAAAGGAAATTAATGTCTGCCAAAGGCAGCAGCTGAAGAATTAGGAAACACCCAAGCTATTCATTTTGGGGTAGATATTCTTCTGATAGAAACCAGACCCTCGTGCCCCTCTGCAAGCAGCCAAAGACCAACCACCCCGACACCAGAGCCTGGAGCTCACCGTGGCTGCCAGGTTCCTAGAAAAACACACATAACGTAGAGGCTTGGCATGGATGGGCTTTGACTAGCTGCTGACCCGATGTAACCAGCACTTGGGAGGAACAAGAGAGGTTACACCAAAACCCAAAACACCCAGCAGCCTGCTGACCCTACCACAAGCGGCGGAGAGCGTCCTGCCTGGCCCGGAGAGGATGGCAGCTCTGGCGAACCGCCCCACACAAGAGCACATCTCCCTAACCCACAGGGCGTAGCTCTGCGGGGCTCACCCTCGCGCGTGGCCCATGCAAAGACAGCAGCCGTGCTTAGCGGCGCACTCCGGCTCGGGAAAACCTTAGCGGAAGGCAGGGTGTCCCGACTGCAAAGCTGTTGTATGTAGCTACGCTTAAAACTTGATGTGATTGCAAGATGACAAATACTTCCTGAGCTGGGGAAGGCTGAAAGGGGTCAGCTCAGACCTTGGTCCCCAAAACAAGGCACATCAAGGCTGGAGGTGGTAGGGGGATGGCAGGATCTGGCCCATCACCACCACCTCTTCCTGCCCCAGGACTGGTTGATGTCGACTGCTTGTCCCCTCCACGGCCCTGATGTGCAGTTCAGCCTCTGCCTTCAATCCGTCCTCCGCCCAGCCTGTCCTTGTGCTTGGAATTTCCCCGATCCAGGTGCAGGACCTTGCACTTGGCCTTGTTGAACTCCATGAGGTTGGCAGTGGCCCGCCTCTCCAGCCTGTCCAGGTCCCTCTGGATGGCATCCCTTCCCGCCAGCGCGTGTCATCGTCAAACTTGCTGAGGGTGCACTCAATGCCATCATCCACGTCACTGACGAAGATGTTAAACAGCACTGGTCCCAATCCCGACCCCTGTGGAACACCACTCGTTACTGGTCTCCACTCAGAGGCTGAGCCATTGCCCATCACTCTGAGTGCGCCCAGCCAGCCAGTTCTTTATCCACGGAGCGGTCCATCCGTCCAATCCATGTCTCTCCAGTTTAGAGACAAGGATGTCATACGGGACAGTGTCAAACACTTTGCACAGCTCCAGGTAGATGACAACAGTCAAATTAGAATTTGTATCTTTTTTTCTTGATAAAAAGATCGATGACATAATTTTCTTACAGGAAAATTTAAACGAATCCACAGTTACTTTATCACCTGATTTTGAATGCAAGTAGCAAAAACAAGTGTCAAAACAAGTAATACATCAGGGAAATTCAAAGCATATTTTAATTAAAATGATTCCCATTCCAAATATAAACTAAATCATTACCACAATTAACATCACATGATTTTTTTTTAAAAGGAAAGAATCCTCTTTAGGAAGTTCCTGTTGTTTACGGGGTATTGGATTCAGCTTCATTTTCAATAGTCCATGAAATATCAAGAGATGAAGAAGCATTTAACTGTACCTCCAAACTAATTAAAAAAAAAAAATCTAAGTTAAATCAACAGTTTTGGAAGAACACGGACTGTTGGATTAGAAGAGATGAGAAAAAGGAACTGTGCATCCTGAGGAGCAGTAACAGAAACCAGCCCTTTCAACCTAACACCCTTGCAGCACTAGCACGACAAGTGACAAACACTCATCTCCACTGAGAGAACCGGGATGATATTCCTGAGTGTGCACCATGGCTGCTCCCAAACACAGCTCATTGACTCCACAAATTCCAAGCTAAAGGTCAACAATATGACAGAAATGGACCCACAGGAGAGCACAGGCCACGTGTCACAGTGCACGGTCCACGCACAGCCAGGCGTCAGCAGAACAAATGTAACGGCGCAAAGTCAGATCTCCCTGGGAATCCAGCGTTGGATTGAACAGATTTCAATTGTCAAAGGCAAATCGAAGGAAAATCATCAGCAATTTGGCTTTCTTCAGGCATTTCAGCATTCAATTCCACGTTCTGGTTTTAAATGTCAAGCCTTAGGGTCTGCAAACTGCAATGAGAAGGAAAAGGAGGGATAATTACGCTGCGCACCTCTACCAACCGCTCACCTCGTTTTCATAATTAAGATACATTTCAGCACTAGGTTATCTCCATGCACATAGAAATACACGCAGTTACTGATGCTTATTTGCTTATTTTTCCGATCACGAAACAAAAGAAGGACAACAAATTTCCTGCCTGTATGGTACATCAAAGTGGGAGCTACAGGACTCAAATTCATACTTTTCCCACCAATACACCATGTTCTCTCGCACAGACAAAACCATTTTGAACACCTTCATGTTTTTAATTCTTTGTCGCCATGCAGGTGCCCGCAGGGATGCAGGGGTGGCAGACGAGAACGAGGTAGTGCTGAAACAAGTTCTGCCTCAGCCACTGGCTTGGAGCTGACTCAAGGTCCACCAAAGACTCTGAACTCTGCCCTTGGCATTGCCGGGACTACTCCGGAGTCACCAGACCTGCAGGATTCCCGCTCAAAGAAACCAGACAAACCAACAGGAGTTAGGGTGCTCCTGCAGGACAACGGTCCGAGTCAGGAGAAGGGTGGGAGGAAACTCGTGCTTTTTTAGTGTGGTTATTTACTAAGCTTTATTCCAGTGCTTGCTGAAGACCCTCTTGAGCGTGTGCTTTGCTGCAGCCCATGGTTCGTCTCCTCTCTGACCCCCTTGCTCACCCCATGGCATGGCAGAGAGCGCGCTGCCCCAGTGAAATGTTTTCACTGCCTGGTAGACCTTATTGCAGCCTTCCAGTGCCTGAAGGGGCTACAAGGAAGCTGGGGGGGACTTTTTACAAGGGCCTGTAGTGACAGGACAAGGGGTAACGGGTTTAAATTGAAAGTGGGGAGGTTTAGATTAGATATCAGGAAGAAATTCTTCCCGGAGAGGGTGGGGAGCACTGGGACAGGTTGCCCAGAGAAGCTGTGGATGCCCCATCCCTGGGAGTGTCCAAGGCCAGGCTGGATGAGGCTTGGAGCAACCTGGTCTGGTGGAAGGTGTCCCTGCCCATGGCAGGGGGGTTGGAGTGAGATGATCTTTTAAGGTCCCTTCCAACCCAAACCATTCTGTGATTCTATGGTAGCAACATGCCTTACGCCTACATTTGCCTGTGTGGGAGCAATGTGTAATCGCGTGGATACAACCACTATTCAGGGTTTTTTAAGTGAAAGTTTCTACTTTCCAGGGGTGAAGTTCTACATCAGGCAAACAGGGTACTTGGGAATGGAACCTGAAGTCGTAAAAACAGAATGACAAATGTTATGGGTGGGATTGTGTGACAGTAGCTGGCAGTCTGCGAGCACAAAAACTAAGCTTGCAACAAGAACCAAAGACTCAGTGTGCATCCTTGAGCGACAGATACCCTGAGATGTCCAACAGCACTTGAAAGGACTGGCAGGCCCGTTGCTTGCAGCTATCCCACACCTCTGGGCTGTGTCTGGTGCCTGCCAGGATCAGGAGGAGATTCTTCTTCCTCTCCCCAACACATAAATATGCTTATGAAGGTTGGAAGCATTTTAGTCTTGCACTGAAGCTCTGGAGAACAGACAAATCAGAGGTGGAGGCAGAGTGCCTGCGTAGGCTTAAGGCATCTGGTTCACATGCCTTGCTCACACACTTAGATCTAAAGCTGCCAGGAGACTTCACATCAAGAGGAATTCTCCTGCATACCAAAAAGTCAGGGACCTCCTCCGAGAAAAAGAAAGGACCTTTCACATGACGTGATCTGCTTCCTAGGATCGCCTGGGAAACCCACCTAACAAGTTATCCACAGCTGCAGAAACCAAAGGCATGGGCAATGCCTTTGATAAGTCATGGGCAATGCCTTTGATAAGTCACAGCGTGATAAATACCAAGTACAGTAGGATACAGCATATCCTGCAATGAGATACTGGTACATCAAACTGCAAGTCTGCGGCTTCCGAAGGGGATCTAGCAGACTGACGTACTCGTTCAAAGTCAAGTGCACATACTTTGTATTTTTCAGCTATGACTAATTCTTTCCAGTTAAAAAAACCCAAGAAGTGATGGAAAAAAAAAGCTTGCAAACCCCATTACGCCCTCAGCCACAGGATTAGCCGATGCAAAGCGCAGCACAAAGCTGCATAGGACCGAAAGACAGCCAGCCCCTCCCCTGCACAAATGCACGTTGTGCACACTCGTACGCAAACACATCCACCTCGTGTATTTTAGCACAACCGCTTTGAGGAGAAAAGGCACGATATGGCACCGCATTAATTAGCACCTGTAAAGAACAATTTTAATCTATTGTCTGAAGTACAGAACTTTGGGTTGAGGAGTACAGGAAATGATGTTACTCAAATATTAGACTTACTGTCTGGTAGCTCTTTTCTTAAAGCTCTTTAATGTATTTCAACCCCCCCAAAAACTATGACGTGAAAAATCTGAAGCACACACTAAGGACTTTGATGCTGGTATCTTCCCTCAGCCCGACTGTAGCTACTATGCCCATCACTCGGCTGCCAGGGACATCCCCTCTCCTGTATCTGAACTCGTGTCGCCTCACGTCGTGACTTGCTGCAAAGAGAAACCTAACGACGACAGCTTAAAAACACACTCTGCCAGGTACGCTTATGAGTGGTTAAAAAATGAAGTGAGGGAGGATTTACCAGCAGACAGCTTAGTGAGAAAGGCAGAGGACTAGAGGGGAAATTATTTTTAGAGCGACGGCACTAAGGTAACAACCCACTTACCGCAGCTTTCAGAGCTTGGTCTAAGTCTTCCAGTAAATCTTCTTCATCTTCCAAACCAACTGACAGGCGAACTAATGTATCACTGATTCCAAGAGCTTCTCTATCTTCTTTAGGCACCGAAGAGTGAGTCATGATGGCCCTGGAGGGGAAAAAATGGCCTTTTTTCTAAGAAGTGTTTACTTCTATCGGTAAAGACTGAACAAATTGCTTTCCTGCCAGCATCCCTGAAATTCCACAAAGACTTTACACCTTTTGTGTACCACCTGCTGGTTAACCCCCAGATGGAAAGAGATCCCATCATCAGTTACTGTAAATTATGTGAACCGCAGAGAAGTCAGTCACTGCTGTCTCCCAGTGTTTCAGCACAGTATTTCCAAGCTACAAGCGATGCATAACAAGTGGACACAATCTGGAAATGCAGAAGAAGGGAAAAAAGCCTATTCCTCTTCCTTTATTTTATATTATTCCAGATATTTTTTAGGGTTTTTTTTCTTACCTGAAAAATAATATCTAAAAGCTCTACTTTAGCATGTGGAGAAAAAACTATAGCATACAATCTCCTGTATGAAATCTCCAGACTGGTTTTTTTTTTACCTTCTGCTTTCTCAGATCACCTGTCAAACTGCACCACTTACACTCAAGCGTTTATTCTCTCCAGCTACAGGGGATATAGGCAAGAAGCTATTTCCCCATATGCTCAGTCACTGACATCCACCTGTTAGAAATTACCTTTCAACTGCTCGAGTGTTTTAAGATCTGCTGTTACGGGAAAATGAGCAACTGAAATGATTTAGCATGTACATTCTGTCATAACTTTCCGTGTATCTCTTTAAAAGCTAATTGGAGTTCAGTAAAATAACCTAATTTCATAAAAAATCCTATTTTTAACCTTTTAACCTAGACAGGAGCAACTATGACTAAAATCCCCACAGACTTAAGGGCGATGGAGACTGATGTGGCTCTGTGTACGTACTGAACGCGCCCTCTTGTGTAAGCAGCCGGAACGGCAGAGCTTTCCTCAACACTGACCAAAGCTGCTCAACGCTACTTATTTTAAATACACGCTGACTTCTTGGATTTGTTATCACAGCAACAAACTGCGGCTCAGTCTCCCAATTAAAACAAGGAAGCGTGGAAATCCTTTCATCGCTGCATTCTTATATTCACAAACTCACACTCAGTTCTGGAGTAGCCACGGGGTTTTGTGCTATACAACACAAATTACATGCAAAGTATCTTAGCTTCGTGTACTAGAAAGTTTTAGAACTCCCACCAAAATAGAGCAGAATTTTTTTCGTTACTCTGCGGCTTTTTTAGACTTTTAAGACACAGAAAGGCTTACGGGTGCTCGGCCAGGCTTTCGTATCCTCCCAGACTCTCAGCCAGTGCAAAAACCTATGGGAAAAGTTAAACAGAAGTTAACATAAAAAGTGTAAGTTTACGAACCAGGAGTCAGTTAATGAAAAAGGAACATTTAGTGGTTGGTTGGTTTGTTTTTCAAGTTTTTCTATAACAACTTTTATATTACAAAAGGTATTATCTGTAATTAGGGGGAAAAACTGTACATTTAGCAGGTAAGAGCTATTAAGATTTAGAATAGGCTTGTCCTAAGAAGGCTCTGAAGAGCGGCTGATGCAAACCTGAAACAACTCAGCAGTTCCTCCAATGCAACGCACGGGCAGCAAGGGAGGAGGAGCAGAAGAGAAAACGCACAATGGGAGGAGGCAGGTTCTCCCTGGGCACCACCAGTGCTTTCACTCTGTTCAAAGGGTAGAGCAGGCTGCCTGGGCAAAGTAGGAGTCAGACCTCAAATGTCTGTTAAGGTTGAAGTGATTATACCCTACCCTTATATACTCTTTTTTCAGCATCACCCATCAGGTTGAACAGGGATGCTTTTCAGGCTGGCAAGTAGCAGACTGGACGGGAAAAAAAACCAAACATTTAAGATTCCTCCCATAAGGTTGAACAGATTTTTGCACTCGTTGCTCAGGTCTGATGGTTAGTTTAATATTTTGAAAGCCAGCCTAAACTTCTCAGTGCCTAGCAGGACCAGTGTTTGTGACATGCTTACTCTCAGCTAAGAGGATTCTGATCACCCATCTTTGAATTACAGACACATATATTCCTGGATGACAAAAAGGGTCTCTAGAGAGCCAGCTGCACTCAACACAGATCCACAGTTTGTCTGCTGAGAATGCATTTACCACCCTCAACATTTCTCTGCAGCCCTGGTTGCTCATATTTACCTTTTTTTCCTTTAAAAACAAAACAACCACCAGAGAATCCTCTTCTCAGCCTGATTCAAGGAAATGGCTTTACTTTTGTACCAACTTAGTGACCAACTGATGGTTATCCAAGTCAAAGGCCTGAAGTCAATAAGGGGCTACTCCCTGATGCTTTTTGTCAAAGCTGGTACATCTCCTGTGCCAGGATTAAATGCTCTCTCATGTAAAAGGATATTTTGTGGGAAAATCGTATTTTGAGTAAATTAATTTTCAGTTGATGACATTAGCTGGCAAGTAAGACACGGAGGAAAAGGAAGTTCTAATTTACCTTTGTCAATTATTACTAATTCGTTTTTCCAGGAACAAAACAGCAAAAAACACAAGAACAGGATGCAGATTAACCAGAGATCAAGAGTAGCAAGCACATTAAGGAGCACAGGCAGAATTAATACACTGCAAAGACAAAAGCAAAAGCCTATGCTTTAGGTAAAATAAACAAGTATTCTCCACAGCGAGGGACTCCCTCTTTGCTTCGTGATTCATGTCATTTCTCAATGGGTTTTCCTCCTGACCAGTACTTTGAAATACTACAACAGTATTACACCAGCCACAGCTTCTCTGCTTTCAAATACTACAGGTATTTTTACAAAAGGCTGGAAAACAGGCCCTCTATTAGGAGCAATGCCTGGATATACCTCACCCTACTGAGCAAACAAACACTTCAAATGAGCTGAGGCATCCTTTTCTTCCCTCTCATTATCTTCCATTTACAAATCATCTATTATTTAGAGATGGTTACACCCAAAAGACTTCAGGAGCTTTGCAAGTAGGCTGGGAAGACTCTCCCCACCCCAAGAAAAACCACTTCCTTCCATTATGACCAGCAGAAGGACAGGCTCAAGCCCCTCTAAGGTATTTAGCTTCATTTACCTTTAAATTCTTGAGAAAGGTAGCAGCATGTTGGAGACTTCCTTTAATGTAAAAGGTTACCATCCCAGGACAGCCAGTGCACTGCCGCTTGATCAGCTCATGCTGAGGGTGTGAAGGCAAGCCTGGAATTGGTAGAAGTTGCCTTAGGTTAATTACCATCACTTCAAAGGGTGAAGCAGCTCACCCTCAACCAGGGAGAAACGGCCCAGGTGGACACCTCAGCCAGCGTCACCAGACGTGAAGGGTGCACAAGCCGCACGTAGCGTTACAGTCCCCGCATGCAGTCTCACTCCACGACGTCACCCGATCTGAAGTTTTGCCAACCTACCTGGGAAAATTACTTTCTCCACCCGGGAATCTGACTCAAGAAATCGGGCAACAGCTAATGCATTGCGGAAGTGTTGTTTCATCCGGATCTCCAGTGTCTTCAAACCACGGTTGCACAGGTAACAGTCAAAGGGAGATGGAACAGCTCCAAGAGCTACAGAAAATGAAACAAAAGTCCACATAAAACAAAGGCGTGGGTTTGTTTTTTTTTTTTAGTAAAACTAAATACAGTCCTAATTTCCAAAGTTTCTAAAGTTAGAACAAGACAAGCGGAAAGACGACTGATGCAATCTGTCTTCCTCGTCACACACACAGGAAGCCAATTAATGAGCTCAATTAACAAGCTGAAGACTCAAGGTTTAAATTTGCTAGACATAATATACCTTCACTCTTTCTGTTGTAGACAGAGGGCAGAGAGAACGCCGTACAGAAACTTATTCATTACAATTAAGAGGCAGTAAAATTGTTAAAAAATCAACCTATATAAGAAAACTCTTCATTAAGCATATCCTCTGCTGTGTGAATGAGTTTAAAAAACCTCAGATGTACTCGACACGAGTTAGATGAAATTAAACAAAGTCATAATTGAAATGGTTGTGTGCTTCTTCATATATAACATCAAGTGACTATAGGAAATGCTGGTGCTCTTTCCGCCATGGTCTGAACTATAACGTAAAAGCAGGGAGATTCAGATTAGGTATCAGGAAAAAATTCCTCACAGAGAGTGTGGGGAGGCACTGGGACAGGTTGCCCAGAGAAGCTGTGGATGCCCCATCCCTGGAAGTGTCCAAGGCCAGGCTGGATGAGGCTTGGAGCAACCTGGTCTAGTGGAATGTGTCCCTGCCTGTGGCAGGGGGTGGGGCTGGGTGGGCTTTAAGGTCCCTTCCCACCCAAACCACTCTGATTCTCTAATTCTAAAGATGGACTTTGTAAGTCCAGCTGGATTTCATCCTTGCGTGTGTGCAACATGCTTCCCACTGCGAGCTGTTTGTGTATGAATATGATTCATTTCAAGGTATTTCCTCTACTGACTACTTACAGTTTTGTAAGAATTTGAGCCTTTCGTAGAGATCATCACAGTTTACTGAAACAAGTCCCATTACAACATCACTATGCCCTAAAAATGGAAGAACAAGAACAGAGTTAGCCACTCCATCTGCTCCAGGGCTCTGCCACAAACCCCTGTTTTCTCAGACGTGATGCTAACGCAGACACATTTTTGCAAAACACTGGGCTCCTTCTCATTGACTTAGCCGTCCTTCCTGTGCAGCGCATGAATCACACAGCGGATTTCAGCTTTTCCTAAAGTCCCGGTCAGGGTGTGCTGTGCCGTGTGCCACGCACATGCCCCCCGATGCCTCCCAAGCCCTAGGAAGCAGGACAGTGCATGGGAACGAGGTGAGCCCTGCAGAGCAGCACCAGGCTGCTGTCGCAGCGAGCGCACCCAGCCAGAAAACCTCCCCTTGCATCCACACCACTGGGGCCATGTGGTTACGGCACGGCGACGGTAGCTCCACGTCCGAGCTGTTGGGAAACAGCACCGTGAACGTGCTTGTGGACAGGCTCCAGCACAGCCGTACGAAACCTCCTTTGAACCTTAATATAATTTCTGGCAGCTACCTCCTACTGAAGCCACTTGCTTAGTCAAATTAAAGCCAACATGGCTATAAACACCTCCAGGTCTATTACCTGAAGTCAGGTCAATATTCCTTCTCCCAGGGATAGTTTAGGAGCTAGGAAGACTAATGGTCTATTCAATGGCCCAGATCCTGTAATGGTTCATCTAGGAATTACCGGCAGGCACGTTGGCTTCTGTGAACTGCCTGCAGCCAGAATGCCTTTTAAACAGCCAGCCTGAGCCGTGCTGAACTCCCATACTCACCGTTCATGTATTTGGTCGCAGAATACATACATATATCAGCCCCCAGAGACAAAGGACGCTGAAATGAAATGATAATAATAGGCCCAATTAAAGCTTGTGTGCACAGCGGTTCATTTCAAGCTATCCAGAAAGGCTGTGATCCAGCCAGGAAAATAACAATGGGTGGAGAAATTGGAAAAAACAAAAAACCACAAAAACTTAACACCTTAAACATAAAAGCCTGACAATGAAGATAGATAGAACATGTGACAACAACAATAGTAGAGGAAAGCACTCCGAATTCAAGATAAGCACAATAAAAGAACCCACAATAAAACGTGATTTAAAAGCACTGATCTAATTCCCACCGGCTTCAGGGAGAGGAGTGATTGAACACATCCAACGTTCATATCTGTGAACAAAATAGCCATATTGCTTAGCTGAGGCAGGGATAAGTAATGGTATTTACTCTGTACTTCCTTAGAAAATGAAGACTTCAACACAGTCTGCAAAGCAAAAAATTGCAGCGTTTGCCATTGCATGTATCAGTATCGGTGATCCTGCACTGAAAGAACAATTGAAAACCTGAAGAAAGCACGAAGGGGTTTGCTTGCCAGGCCTCTCTTCCCCAATCTCCGGGCTTTCCTCCCAGAAGCCTTTTCAAGGGGGGTGCAAACTGAGATGTTGATGGGCAAGAAGTAATGAACAACACTGATTTTTTTAACCAGTCACTAAGAAAAGGACTTTGCACGTGATATAAACATATTATAAAGACTGAAGAGTCTCAATATGTTAAAAGGTAACAAAGCAAGCAGAATTAAAGACTGCTGCTGTCAGATTAAACGCAGACACCTATTCCAGGAAGGCGAATCATGTGCATTCCGGGTGTGCAGCCAGCAGAACAGCAGCAGAACCACCGGTGCCTTTTACCTTCCACACTGCTATATAAATCACTCCAAAATCATGATCTGCTGAGCACAGCGTATCAGCAGCAGGCTGGAGGCATTTAAAGACATTACCTATTATGCCTACTAGAATGAATCATTACAACTGACTTTCTCTTAGCACCAGGCCAATAAAAGGTACATTAACCAGCTCATATAGACAGATGCTCACGTCTTCTTTCACACATATCTAGTAATGTAGTATCTTACTTTGTAATATATAGTAATATATATATTTGTAATATAACAATATTATAGATATTTGTAATATATATTTATAATATAATAAAATAATATAATGTAATAATACAATAGACAGACAATATTTGTGTTATATATACAAACTAATATACATTGTGTGGGGGAAATCCTTAAGCCTTTGGTATAGAATCATAGAATCACTGGGTTGGAAAAGATCTTAGAGATCATCCAGTCCAACCGTATCTGTCCACCACTAAACGTACAAGACAAACTCAAGTGCTGCTTTAGCTAAGCATTAACAGTTTCTGTAAAGCTCTCTTAATTTATAAAGAGCTCATTAACCAAAACAAGGACACCTTGACTTCTGTCCACATATAAGAGTTTTACTTTAGATCTAAAACACAAGGGATTAGCTTGGTCTCCTGGGAAACGTACGTATTTCTAGCCCATGTTAAAATGACCAAGACTTGGAAGTTTATTGTCCCAAAGCATTTTTAGAACTCAAGAAATTGCCTTCACTTCATGTATTCTAGTTATAAAAGCAGAGAAGTTACGCCAGTTGTTTGAGATCAAAATTACAAACTTCTAAGCCACCCATTCACCAACAAATTTAAGAAAAAGGTGACTTGAGTGTCTCAAAAAGATTTGTTTGCTTGTTTTAACTTTTAGAATATCAAGTGGTTCAGAACAGACCACAAACGGTATATACAAAAGAATCAGTATAAAATGGCCAAAGTTAGAAAACAGATGACTTTGTAACAAGCTTGTTATGATTTCCACTAGTGACAACTGAAAACTATAGTTTTTGAATGGCTAGCTATAAAATACTTTGCATACCATCCTTACCAACGTAAAGAGCAGCAGTGCATGGGTTATATTTAGAAACAGAGCAGGTAATTTTGAAACACACAGAGCAAAACTGCAGTTCCCTCCTGGTGCTTCCGTTTTAAAAATATATCTTTGAATACACTGAAATAATGGGGTGGTTGTAAACAAACCAAGTGCTTACCTGGAAGTATGCAGACATGAAAGTGTTGTCTACCACCAGAAGAACACCTTTATGCTTATGTACTACCTCTGCACAGGCCTGAATGTCAATGACCTTCAGTGTGGGGTTTGTGGGCGTTTCAATCCAAACGAGCTGCAGTCATTCAACAACACAAAACATCAGTTTGGAGACTTTACAATGCTGGTGATGATACATGTGTAAGTCATGAGCATTTTTAAACGTTAACTTGCTGAGCATCAGCTTCCCGTGCAGGTTTGCACAGAGGCAGTAAGAAAGCATCCCTACTGAAGGAAGGAAAGGCATCTTGGGAGAGCTAATATTCCCCACAAAAGCAACTGATACAGGGGGAGATCATCAAAGCTTCTGAAAGCCTAAGTGGATCACATCTGAAGGCCTGACATAGCCAGAAGAAAGTGTTTACACCGCAAAGTTTGTAAGCCTTTTCCAGCTGAATTACCCTCCACTAGTGGAGGGAATTTTCTACTCCAGTGCCACGCAGCACCTCCTCCTCCTCCAACCTTGCCATCCCTCCGAGTTTCTTACCTCTTCCCTGATCCTCTCTCTCTCTCTGGTGTTTTTTGCCGTTTTTAAAGTATTTTCAACGAAGCACCCCAAACGTCACCAAGCGGTGGGCAGCCGGGGTGTGCTGGAGCCAGCTGTGCCCCCACCTCTCCGCGCAGAGGCCACCTCTGCTTGACACAAACCCCCAGTGCAACAAGAGCAAGAATAAAATTATTTAACGACATTAAGCAAGTACGTTCAGCAATTTCCCTCTCCCCTACCTTGGTCTCTGGTGTAATTGCAGCTTCCAGGCATTCCATTTTTGTGCAGTCAATAAAAACTACATTCAAACCCATTTTCATGGCTATTTTCCTGAAGTATCTGTTTGTGCCTAAAAAAAACCCACCAAACAAACCAAAAAATCAGAGAGATAAAATGAAACAACTTCCCTAACTTTCCTTCACTGATCTCCAGTCCCTTGTACACCGTCACAGAAAGTCGGGGGTTAGAGTTTTATGCTGTACACCATAAACGGCACATTAGTATTTTTTAATTTCTGAAAAGTTTAAACACTGCTGTGGTTTTAAACATCACGGAAAAGTAATAATGGGAATATGGAATCAGAGTGATTTATGAAGTACTTTCAACTAATAGCTGTTTGGGGTTGTTTTAATCAGAAAATTAAATAGAACCCTTTTAGCTTGCCTGCTTCTAACTGTGCCCTTTGCCATGCACAAGCTGGCGGTTCCAGCTTTTCTATCCACCACATACTTTCAAACTCTTTTTTTTTCTATTGAAAAAGCTTAACTGAGAATCTGGAAGAAGAAGAATCAAGGGAAAGGCTCCAGCTACTGTGTTTCTTATCATTCCACTAAATAAATATACAGCAAGGGACATTAAAAAGTGATTCTTCCCTTCCTTTCTGTCTTTGAAACATTTCATTGGAAAGATTAAAAGAATGAACCAGAAACAACCAGCTGATCGCCTGATGTGCAATACACTGACTAGCTGGCACCGCTGTCTGGATTAAAAATTAATTAATTAGGTCTTTCTGCCAAGGTTATTCAACATTTACTGACTTACGCAGAACAGCGGTTTGCCATCTAGCCGTAAAGCAAGTGCAGGGTATGATTCTGGGTGCTGAATGCTATGATTACTTTTATGAAATGATTATTTTTAAGAAAACACTTATTTCTACAATAAGCTATGTATTATATTATCTCTTGTGCTCTAAGAAGTTTATGCAAGCATGGGAAATTTTCACATACGCTGTCAACTCTACGAACACAAGCCACAGAAAAGTTGCTTTATAGTAGTCTTACACGCTTTTAATAATAGCAAAACTACAAAAAACCTTAGATGGAAATTAAAGGTTACACCGAAAGTAGCCCTTTGAAAAAAACACAGCAATGGCTCAGAATTCAGAGGTGTCGACTACGCACAGCTCCTCCTCACGCCTTTCTTAAACACAGCCCAGGTAATCTGCTGTCCTCCACTGCCCAAGAGCTTTTCGTTTCCTTTTGCTGTTTTTCCTGACAACCTTGAATTCTGCAGGCTAGCTGGAGTGAGCAAGCACAGTAAGGGCTCTCCTGTCCCACCAGGCTTTTCACAAAACCCGCATTGAAAGCTTTCCCAGGCCAGTGTACCCTCGAGCGAGGGGGGACACGTGCCAGTGCTCAGCACCCAGTGACTCAAAGGTTGCTCTTACGGGGCTGAAGTATGAGAGGCCGCACAGGGCCAGCGTGGTGGAGGATTAAACCCTGCACTGCAAAAAGGAGTCAGGGCAGGGAACAGCGAGGAAGCAGCTGACAAAGGACCAGGCTGCAGCATGCACGAACGCAAGCAGGAAAGACAAGCAGGACCAGGCAGAAGAGCACAGCCTAGGAGAAATGCGGGCAGGGGCGTAGGGGACACAGAGCTCCTAATATCCAAGGGAAGAATGAAGGGGCTGGCCAGGCAGCCAGTGGAAGATGTGCAGATGTACCATCTCACGGGGTGTGAACTTGACTGCGTAAGGCCGTCTGTGGGGAACTGGCCTCTTGACAGCAAAAGTATGACAAAAACTCTGGGAAGAAACAATAAAATCCCCCTTTGCGGAAACCACCACAGGCTGAGGCTTTAATGAGCAGGTCAACTGGTTTTGCTTGAAAACTACGCCTTTCTGAAGTGAGGAACTGATAACGTGCTTTGGCCAAATGACTTTGATTTATGAGTTCTGTGGTGGGAGGGCTATGAATGAAAGGAGCAGATTGTCAGTAGGGATTCCTGCCGTCTTCAGGCAGTTTGGCTCCGGATGTACTTTGGAGAAGAATTATCTGGCATGACAGGGCCAGGACATTAAAAGGAAATGTCTGTACTTATGTATGTGCAAGCGTAGAGAACTGACTGGCAAACAGCAATCGCTCTTAGCAATGGGAAAGGTGATTACTCTTGCTAAAAGGCTTCCAGCTATTCCTTGGGAAAACGCTACCTGCTCCTGAGCTCCCTAGCCTTCCTTTGAAAACAAAGCAGATTTGATCTCTTTGTGCCAAGGCCTTGGAGCAGATGGAGGGAGACAAGTTTCGCTCTTTGTGCCAAGGCCTTGGAGCAGACGGAGGGAGACAAGTTTCGTCGGTCAGCGAAACACACGAGTTGGGCACTAAGGACACCAACTGTCTCAGCTTATCCCAGCAGATTTCCCTACTACAGACTTCTGGATGGCATCAACCTTTTGAGGACTTCAGCAAAGGTGGATGAACTCTGTTTATTCCTAGGGAGCTTCTTGGAAGAATGGAATCAAAAAAGCTGTGCACGATCAAAGCCTAACAGTGGGCTGCAGCATCACTGAAGCATTCAGAAGACATGGGCATAACAGATGCAGGTTGTGCTTTCAGGGAAAGATGACAGAATAGTTGTCTGAAACAGTCCACACAAAATGCTGGTTGGTAAAGGATCAAACCTAGGAAAGGAATAGCAGAAATACCAGAAGCTGGAAAGCTGTGTGACACTGGACTGCAGGGGGTCCTGCTCTGCAAACAAATCTGTGCAAGCTGGGATGTCACTCTTTTCCCCTCATTCAGCATATATTACTAGTTAGCTGCATTTTTAGACCTCCCCGTTGTGCCACAGAATCTTTCAGTGTTTAAGTTTCTAACATCAAAATCAGACAGGAGTCTTCTGTGTTCTCATGAAGTGAAAAGGCTTTCAAGAAAGGTAGGAAATTCAGAACGAAATTGAGAACATTCATGAGAATCATAAATAGGTACATTTAATCAAGGTATATTTAATCACTTGCACAATGAAGATCAAACCACACTTGTGCTTTACATACCTCCATAGACATCATCCATGCAGATAATCGTATCCCCTGCCTTTAACAGGTGAGTAATATTCAAAGTAGCAGCTAAGCCAGAAGCATAAGCTAAACCTAAAACAGAAAAGAGTAAGTGGCAGACAGACTGTACTTTAATGTGATACAACCCTGCCAAACTTGCCTTTGCTTTCCTCACTTTGCTTTTACAAGGAACCTGTTCTGGCTGTCTTCCTTACGCTATCTCACTCGTTAGGTGGATTCAGTAAAAGCAGCAGCCGGATTTTGCATAGGGTGGAGCCCAGGATGAACGCTGGTAACACAGTTTGGTACCAGCTGCTGTGGGGCTCCGCTCCCCACTGCATTCAGTGCTGCCGCACAAGGACAGCTTCATCAGTGCACCAAATGCAGCGAGAGGAAGTAAGGTTAACACAGAAAGCCTCATGACTGAGCTGGACTTTCCCAAACGATAAGCACTGGACTCTTTTCACACCATGAAGCAGCTCTTGCCCATAACCAGTAGGCAGTGGCTGTGATACAACCGCTGCTGACATTTGGCGCCCTCACTTCCCACGTTATGCCTGCTGTCAGGAGGCACACATGCTGACAGCTTGCTTGAGGAACCTATTAATTGCTTACAGTATTTAGCTCCATCTAGCGCTGCCACAGCCTTCTCCAGGCAATTCCGGGTAGGGTTTCCACTCCGGCTGTATTCAAAACCCTAAACCAAAAGCAAAACAAAAATATTACTTGACAGAGCACTGAGAAGTATTGTACTGTAATAGTCCTAGGTTCCTCGGAACTTTTCTCACTCCCAACACTGAGATTATACATCCATCTCCTCCAAGAACAGCTGGCTGGGTTTCTGGCTATGCTGGGCTGCTGTACACGTCCGACTGGGCATCCTCAACCTGAAAGTGGTTCCTAGGGGTAGTACTGTACTGCTAGCCACGCTCTCCTACGTTTTCCTAAATACTCATCCCCGGTCACTGCTGGAGAAAAGGCCTCGGTCTGACACTGCTCATTCTTATGTTATCAGTAAGAATGTGTCCCATCTCCACGACACTCTGTTTGAAAGATGCTACAGGGCACTAGCCAGTGCCAACCTGTACCATCAGAAGTTCTTGCAAGCTCAAACATTTCCCTGGCATGCAATCAGGCCCAGTTCCACACTTCAGTGAAACAGCTTTTACGTGAACACTGAGAAAATTTAACAAGAAAACAAACACTCATGCATGCACGGATGAGCTTGTTACAGAGAGAACCTGGCTAAGCATCCTGGTATTTGCGTACTTCCAGGATTTCTGTTTAATGACAAGTTCAGCATATTCAGGAATCTGGCAGATTGCTCTCCCGGAGCTTCTGGCGAGAACGTGGCCACTCCATCATCAGTACGTGCACACAGCAGCATGTGACTCCTTCTGCGGTCTTTATCACAGCTACATGCTTGGAAGCACTCACAACTTCAGTGATTTTGTGTGGAATCAAAGATCACAAGGCAAATTCCTACCAACCAGCGCACGGTGATGTTCAGACCCCGGGTTTGGAACAAAGACTGACTTACAAGCTGTGAATTTGTGTCCTTTCCCTCCTACACGTATGGTAGCGATCAGAAACTTCATGACAGTGCAATGCAAACACTGCCAGTACTTTCTACAATACATCCACAACATAAATACTCATTCGGTCTGGAAACATGACTGAAACAGCCCCTTCCACGACCTGTGCAAGTGGGACGATGTATCACCTTGGGCCCGGCATCGTTATCTCAGTCTTCTAGCCCCGGCTGCCTGCAGACCGTCCAGCCAAGGGCTGAGCATCAGCGTGGGCAGCAGCTTCCCGCACCCCAGGCCCACGCAGGAGCGGGGTGGGTGCTGGGCGCCCCTTCACGCTGACAGTCCCCCCGACAGCGCCTTCCAGCCACTGCGGGAGGAACCACCTCTCACAGCGGGAAGAGGGATGCCTGGGTTTATCCCAGGAGCTAGCACGAGGGAAAATATCTCCAGGAGCTCTCTCCCTTTCCCAGAGCCTGCGGCACCCCGCGGCGGGCCAGCAC